TCGATAGTACAATGTGTGCACGTTCTGAAATAATTTTTCATTATTGGTTTGTCATTATAACTACAACACACAACTGCACTTGGCTTGTACCGTCTCCTCTTATATATGAGCAGTGACTACCTCTATATCGAACTCCTCCGAAAGTAAAATCTGAAGTTTTGCAATTCCCTTATAAGTTAAAAGTATGCTAATATTCTATTGATCTGATAATATACGTATTGTATTATAAATACAAAAGGGAAAGTGTTCATCAAATGTCATATAATTGCATGTGACCAATAGGTATCGTTCGCCGACACAATCATGTGATTTAAACAAGAAAAAAATTCCACATCATAACGTTACGCAAGTAGGAGTATACATTATACTTCTTGTGTGTAAAAAAAATAAAACCTATAAACAATTTATGGGTCTGCTACAGTCGTTCACAGTACTGTACACAATCGATATAATAATATTATATTTGTATTCATGGCCACTGTGTCCTTATAGTAGTATTATGCGCTAGCTGCAGTAAATGCTGCTTACACATGTAATCACTTGAGTGAGTATCGTTAAAAACGTGCGTTTTGATTGAAGATGTCTGTTCAAATAATTTGAATAATGTGTTTGGTTTTTTTTTTAGTACTTCAGTATTTGTTGGCCGTATACGGTGCGTCGGCCGAGTCAATGTGTGTATCTTGATGGGTATCGATATACATGATTTGATACCCTAATTGGGGAACGGAGCGAAGAATATCACTTTTACTCTTCAGCTTAGTGAAATTCGTGATTATTATCTTCTCCGAAACTACTGGAGCAATCTTCGTGAAATAAATCAATGTATATCTGAATAGCGAAGAGTGCATAGATCAAGAGTGGCGTTGAAAGACGCTGATTTTAACTAATCATGATTAATTAATCATACACAATAAAAATAAGATGTTTAACCGACTAACCGACGTAAAGCCAAACAAATATTTGATATCATCTAGAGACTCTATAGACTTGAAATGTCCATGAAACTTCTGTACCACAATGTATTTACTGATACATTATTTTTCAACTTAATAGGTTTAAAGATGTGTGGCCAATATACGGCCTTTGATTCATAAGACAGAGATCGAATATTTCTTATATATTTGTTACCATTGGTTACAGAAAATACATAATTTATTTTATTATGATTGCATGTGACAATTTAGTGATCTAACGGAAATTTAACAAGTTTATAGTCCTATAAAAAGATTAATATTAGGTATTTTTTATTTACAATTACTTACCTTATAGTAAATATGCTTTACAGTAGAGATTGATGAGATGGCAACATAGGTGGACAAACCTATTATAGGTTGTTAAAGATGATACTACCACAACAAAACAATGAAGACGTAATGAGCTAGGTTTAGAAGAAATTGAATGTTTAATTAATGACTAAAATAAATAACAAACGCATAACGATTTGACTGACAATTGAATAGCCACCTGTCGTTCCGGGTATCACTTTTGTCTATGGACACGCCTATTATAGTTCTTTATATGACCGTATTGACTAATTACCATTATATTCTTATTGGCATTCCATTTATTTTGATTTCAACGACTATAGCTGATACATTACAGCTATACCAACACACCACATCCGCATGCTGTTTTAATACTCAAGAAATCCGTTATTCAAAACCAAACCTGTATATAAAAAAAAACACACATCGAAATAATCAATGGCATGGTGATATTACTTCATACCGGTTTGGGTTAACGAATTTCTTTATTATGTTTCGCTTGCTCAATGAATTTAAAAATAACTACCCAACCAGAGTAATATAAATTAGAATATATATCCAACGTAGTTGATTTTAATCTAACGAATTTTCAAACTGCCATTAGTCTCATTTTTAACCATTACTGAATTCGATAATTACGACAACTCGATCAGAAGTAGGTACTGTATTTTATAAAGACAATTCGAATTATCTAACTCAACATCAGATTCCGATAATATTTATTATCAACCTAACAAGGAGATATTAAATAAAAATATTTTGCAACCAGTGGAAATTGTATGATTTTTTTCTTTTTCAATTTTAAGACATTAACGTGTTATATATAATAATAAGACTCTTTTTATAGAGCAGATAATAACATGTTGTACCATATTAAATAATATACATTAGGAAAAACAGTAACTAGATCTCTCAAAACGCATTTTAAAACAGAAGCTATTATGTCTATAGCTACAGGTTACATGGTGAGGAGGAGTGGCTCATTTCCATTGTTAGGAATAGGTATTGAAGGTCAAAATATTAGGAAAACGAGAAAATTAAAATTATTATATTATAAATGTACATAATATAAAGAATTAATAATTACTAATGAATTATCATACACAACGTCTAATTAATTTTAATAAGTTTGCAAGTTCACATAATATTATATTTTTAATGATCGATGTGCGTTAATGTGAATTATTTAGGTACGACCAATACCTACAATTTTATTAAAATATGAAAATTATAACAGTTGTATCGGAAGCAACTTTTTATAACTAAATAATGGCTAATACAAGTTTTATCGTCATAATCATTAATATGTGAAGGTATTTACCATAATTGAATATACAGTCACACTCATGCTTATGTGTTATAATACATGTAGATATACATATGTAGTTATAATATATCGTTATACCATTATAAAAATAAACTGTTATATCGGCCTGAACGACAACACTCTCCCCTACTGTGGCTGTGGTCATGAGTAATGTAATTTAATAATTTGCATTTCAAAAAAAAAAATAATAATAATAAATGTATTCTTTCAAACATTTTTTCTATACCAATTATGTTCTTAACTCTTAGTCGTAAATTATAAAATCAATATTTAACCTATTTTTTTCATTCTTCATTTATCGAATTTACGACAAGCCTGCAATTGAAATAGGGCGAGTTAATTTATTATATAACTAAATTCTTATGTATATTGTATATGCACATACATATAAATATACGTTTGAGAAGATGGAGTGTGTAAGTTAAATAAATAAATAATAAATCATAAATTAGTAAAAACACGTAATTATATTTTATATTAATTACTCACACACACTATTTGTGCATCATAACTACACAGTTTTTAATTATTTGTTATGATTCTTTGTCCGCTGCATTTTATATAATATAATTTTGGATCTTGTACGTATAGGATAGCCACCGTTAGTAATATTTAGGAATATTTCGAGGAACCAAATATATATTTAATAATTGTATAATTTTTGTTTGGCGAGATAGAGGAAGGGGCTGTTTGGTTGTCGTGTGTAAAGCGATAGAGTGTATGGATTGGATTTTAGTGATTTCTCGGATATTACGAGGCTTAGCGTCATCTTATATTATTCATGAGCCACATCATGTTCAAATCGACATTAATAATAACTTATTTAGAAGAAATTTAGGTTTTATTCGCTACCTAGTGGGAAAAGAGCTTAAGTCTTGTGTTGAGGAAAAATCGATTGCTATTTTAGTACTAAATATTTATGAAAGATGTTGGTGGTATTGAACACTCCACGTTCTAACATGTATTTGCTGAGTACGACAGTGTACAAGATTACATTTTATTTTAAGTGTAATAATAATTTTTAGAAAATATATTATATAGTGTTAAAAATAATGAATTTCACGATGATTATTATAATTTACAAATGAGCATAGTGCTTTATAGTTTATTGTTAGCGGTAAATAGGTATATTTACAGCCATTGACCAACAAATTAAAAATAAAAATAATCTTTTGATAAAAACGATAAAATAATCAGAGTTATTCATATGTAATAAGCAACATCAAGATTTGTATTATTGTATTATTCATATGAAATTCTCAAAATTAGAAAATACAATTAAAACATAAAAATGTATTTTATAATATAAGTTTTTTTTTTTTTTTAAATTTTTTATTGTGCTTTAATCAACAAAACCCATCAATTCCCTATATGTATAGCTAGGTATCTATAGCATTCTGGGAATTGGTAAGCAGTGGCGCAAAAGTCAGTTTTTAGAGGTATTGCAAAGCATACCTGCAAAGCAAGACCCACCCACCTACATTAGGTTGAGCGACTGCCCCTCAATTTTTTTCCACTCATCTATCTATAATTTTAACAACTAAGAGTTATAAATACATTTAAAGATTGCCAGCAGGGCCGTGTTAAGGGGGAATAGTAGAGTATATAAATCGGTAG